TTTCACTTTCCAGATAACTCCGCCCCATTCGAGGTCTATGCTGCGGGCGTTATCGTCCATAAATATCACGTCGTTGCCCATTGCAGAGATAAAAGGACGCACAAGAGGGCGTAGAATCTCGTCGCGATGTTGGACGGTTGTGGCGGAACTACCAGGAATCACTTAAAGGTCAGTGTTGCCGTTCTTTGCTATACAAGTCCTAGCCCATGCAAGTAAGCGTTCTCCTCTGTAATGGTCTCTTTCGACGGGCAGCCGATAGCGTGCCCCTGGCTTTTAACGTATCATTCTACTGCCTTTTTCATATAGTTAAAAGAAGCGATCTTCTGCCTTTGTAATAATCCTCTGGCGTCCAGACTCACGTCTTCTACAAGGATTTTGACCCCTTTGGTAACGATTCCACCGCCTATCGATGACACTACGATGCGCTTTCAGTTCTCTCCCAACAACGGATCGTCTTTCACCAGCTTGCAACATCTCAATAGCACTCCGAGGCACTACTGTAATGGTGTCTTCGGCTCATGCTTTCCGCATTGGCTATCTCGGATTACACGGAAATATCGCTGCTTGCGAACTGACGTATTGATCCGGCATAGTGGTGTGACTGCGGGATTGCATTTTAATTGTATTGTTGCGTTTTTCTTTTCTGACACCAGTTGTTACGTTAGTTTCTTCCTTCACGTTCGTACAAGGTTCGTGTGGATTTGGAGTGAATAATAGCAATATTACTTGATGAAGTATCGAAACACACTTTATTTAGCAAATACTGATCAGGACAGCTCCAAAGTCACGTTTTACAGTCGTCGAAGATCTACTATAAATACGCTGACACGATCAGCGACACAGCCTTCAGGTTATCAGGCTATAATGGTGGAGACAGCTTCACTGCAAAACACCAGAGTACAGCTCCCTACTCTGCTCGGCCGTTCTTGGAACTCCACGTACTCTCGAGACTCTCCACGCTGCAACTCGCGATGCACACGACAACACACAGAGCACAGCTCCCGACACTTCGGTTCAGTCAACACGCTCTCTCGACGATGCACTAACCGCGATACACTACCAGATTCTTTCGGTGCACTCGACGACCCACTAGGCACTCAATGCCAGGCTGTCAACTCTGCAGGGATTGACTCGCTAGACGAGACACCAACTGGATACTAACTATATTGCACTCGCACTCTTGAGGAGGCACTCTCTTGCACTCTAGGCGAGGCACATACACAGACACACTGACTGCGGACCAACAGGGTTATATAGCTTTCGGCTTGTGTTCGAGAACATTCTGGGCTAAACCGGTAAGAATTCGTTCCAGAAGTTTCTTTATCCGTCCATGGAATATCGCCGATTTTGTCACCAAATGGGCGATTTCTCACCAAATGTGGCAATCCTGCCTTCCCTTGCCATTTTATGGCAATCTTAAACCTTCTTTGCGGGGAAGATATCTCACCGTGCCTGTACATTTCGTAACTATTAAGTTTGGTTGCTCATTTGAAATCGGCTATGCAGCCTCTGTCTCATATGTAAAATATACTTTTAATTCCGCCTTTTTACATTCGTAGTTTTTCTTTTAGCGTTTGTTGCTTATTTTTTAAGCACGATTGTAATTATGAATCCAATGTTTAATATATTCAGAAGGATATTTGTTATTTTTCAATATGATCGTTTTAGGAGGGGAAGACGGTTTACTATATTAGTTCAAATCAAGTACACTGCGGGGGGGGGAAAGGACATTTCCATATTTTCCGTTCTACTGGGCTCATTGAACGAAATTCAACTTGCGTTCTCGAAAGCGCAACTTAGGATATATATTAGATTTATATACACTATATAGGTATTTTGACATAAAATCGGACTTTTTCTGAAATGGCATGCCAATTTTTTTCCATATTTCGATTTTACGACTCAAATTATGTCAAACTGCCAAGTTTTGCAAAAATCGCACGAGTAGTTTTTAAAAAATTAGCTCTCTAACTTTTAGCTTCTCAATGTTAATTGAATTTGAGATATATTTATCAATTTCTCTTTTTATTAAACTTATTTGATTCTCCCTTTCACATTTCGAAATTTCGGTTCATTACAAATAAAATTCGCCCATTTTATGATTTATTTTAAAATTTGTATTTTTAAAAATTTTTCGAAAAAAAATTTTAAATTATAATCTATAAAAAGGTTTCCATCCTCTTAAAGTAGGTGTATTTCTAAGCATACCTACAAAAAATTAGACTTTTTTATTCAAAATTTACGAAGATATACGTGAATTTACATATTGGCGCGTTTTGAAATTTGGCATATTTGTTGAAAGCGATAATGAAATCAAATGTAATTTAGCCACTTTGCTGAAATTATTTGAAAGTATGAAAGATGACTTTTTCAGCTCGTGGACAATCAAAAAAGTGAAGGAAAATAGGTTGCTATAAATTGAGAAGTTCGCCAAGTGAATTTTTCTTGGCTCAAACTGAAAGAAAGTTGCCAAGATAAATTTTTAAATTCTCCGTAAATTTCTCAAGAAAAATTTCAAAATTTAATATCTAGGCATATTTTGAGTCGTAGTATCTAAATATGGAAAAATATTGGTACGTTATTTCAGAAAAAGTCCGATTTTGTGTCAAAATACCTATGTTAGAGCAATGCTATATATAAATCTAATATAAGTCGCGCTTTAGAGACATGAAAAACGCAATTTGAATTTCGTCAATCGGCCCAGCAGAACGAGAGATATAGAAATGTCCCCCCCCCCCTTTTTTTTTTTTTTTTTTTTTTTTTTTTTTTCAGTGTACATGGTGGCATCTGTTTGCTGGAAAAACATCGTTTTAAGTTTAAAAAAAAAAAAAAAAGAAGAAGAAGAAGAAGAAAAAAAAAGAATTTTACGTAGCTAATTAAATAACTGCTCATCTATTTTTTCCAGTAAGGGAATATATTATGGATTTGCCTTTATAAACAGAAGATGTATCTGCTTTAATATAGAAAAAAGAAATTTGGTACCTAATCATGATGACAATTAAACAATATGGTAAGCTCGAAAGCAGTTTAAGAACGTTTCCAAATCATTTAGTAACATATTACCGGAATATTCATAAAATGACAAAAAAAGGGGGGGCTGACTTCAAGCAATGTTTAATAAACTTGGATACATTCAGTAAAGAGTTTAAAATAAATAAATAAATGTAAATAATGAAAAATTTTCAGTATTTAAAATTTTGCCAATTTCTTTTAAATAATAGTTTCCAAAAGAGGCTGAAGAAAATAAATATTAGCATAAAAAGAATGCGAAAGTTGGCATTTGAAGTCGGAGAAGAAGATTCTGTATGATCTTCGAAAGTACAGTTAATGCATATATTACTACTTAGTGCACACTAATTGTCATTATTATTTTTCCTTTCCCTACAAACTGAATTCATTAGACATGCCCATATTCACTTGTTTCATTTTTAACTTGAAAATTCTAACTGTAACTGTACCTTTAACTTCTGGTAAGAAGCAAACTTGTTAGTATAATTTCAAGAAATATTTAAAAAGTGAACAAGAAAGCCGAAAATCTCTGTAGCCCCTTGTTGCAGGTCTTTTTACTTCCTTGTACGAAGTAAAAAGGAAGTATTGTAATCGCGAAAAGTTTCAGGCAGCATATTTCAACGAAAATATCCATTTTTACCGCTACCAAATGCAATTTAACGATGTTTTTGCGTGATATCTGTACGTAAGGACAGAATAAAAGACTCGTTTCCTCTAAAAAATTATAAAACTGCTTTAAAATTAATTCTGAAGAGAATTTTTCGTGGCGTCTGTACGAACGTATGTACGTACGTACGTATCTCGCATAACTCAAAAACGAGTAGCCTCAGAACGTTGAAATTTTGTACATAGGACTACTATAACATGTAGATGTGCACCTCGTATTTTGGGTTGCAATCGGCCACACCAAAAGTATATAAATATATATATATATATTCACTCCTGCTACTCCGGCTCAAGTGACCTCAGTTTCTTTATACTCTTATATGTTTGTAAATTGTACATTTTTTGCTTTAAAAATGATTGAATTATGTTGGATTATTAAGGATTTTATGCCTTTAGTAAATCTGTGTGCAATATTTTTAGAATTATCAGCAATTTTAAAGTTGTTTAATTGCCGCTAAGCCTGTTTTTAATGGCGGCCATTGATGTTTACATTTGAAAGAAGAGACTAGTGGATTCGTTGCCAATCTAGGGAAACTCAGCTTCGCAACAACAAAGATAACGCATTCATTTATTATTGCCAATTAAATCATGCTTAATTCTTTCTGGAATTTTTTCGAGGAAATAAGTCTTTGAGATTTACTTCGTAATTTTTAATATAGATATTTTGAGTTTTTATGTATTTTTGCCTTCTCGCGAAGTGAGAACTGAATTAATTAAATGAGAAATACTCAATCGTCCGTGGAAAAAAACTGTTTCCTTTTTGTTTCGTTACCTTAATTTCTTTTATACATCATTCTAGCTTTATTATAGTATTTGAATAGAACATGTGGCAACGATTAGATAATTCTATTCTTTAAATGATATAGATTTTGTGCATTATGAGTTATAATATGAACGAAATATATACGTTAACTGTTATATAATTATTGGATTATATAACAGTTAACTTAGTTTCCGTTATATAATTATTATATAAGTTAACTGCTATATAATTATTAATACTGTTAAGTGAATCTAGCGCCAGAGTGTCGCTATGGTAAACAAATACTAGAGTGAATTTTAAAGAATGCATTTATTCTATTGTGGTTTATGCGCTGCCGGCGAAGTAGATTTAATTCAATCCAATAAGTTTAAATGAAATGCAAGAAAAAATGCGTATAATTTAATATTCCAATACAAGGAAGTCATGTGGTGTACACATCAGATTTTTTTATTGATGTAATTTATGCATCTTTCTGTGACTTTTGTCATAATACTTACAAATTTACTTTTTGTTGATGCCTAACGTCTGTCTTTATTTAATATTTCATATATGATTATTTTAGGTACTCTGAAGCTGAACTTGCGCATAATATAATTTAGCATCATGTGTGAACTCCATTGTATTTCTGGTTTTCAACATGCAGTGAAAGGCGGCTTGGCATTTTATGGATCCAACACATTATTCTACTTAGCAGGTCAAACAGGAGTCTTCCATAACCTCAAAGACAATTCGCAGAAATTTTTCCCTATAGATGAGCAACAAGAAGTCACAGCAATGACTTTAGTAGGAAAGGAATTTCTAATATTAACTACAAAAGGTTCGGAACCTAAAGTATCGGTTTATAACCTAAAAACAGGAGATAAATTAATACTTAAGAATCCTGAAATTATTAGAAGGTAAGTGTTTTTTAAAGAAAGGATATATTTTGTCATATATTGAAAATAATTATATAAACGCAATTTATTCCAGCACATGTCAATTTACTTGTTACAGCACTAATTTTTAGGGACGAAAGTTATTTTGTTTAGAAAAACAAAAATTTAAGGGAATTTTGAAGATTCTTATTTTGCTCTTCCGTAATTATTTTAGATAAACTTAGTTTGAATTATTTGGTAGAATGAACTATGATAAATATTTTAAGATAAGAGAAATAAAGGTAATAGTATTTTCTTGAAACAATCTATTTGAAACATATTTTAACGTCTAATAAGAACTTCAGCTCTTTTGATAGTACCAATTGTAAAAGAGCTAAATTTAGCAGACCGACGGTAACCAAACTGGTATGCATCAAAAGTATACAATAATTTAAAAATCGAACAACGCAAATTGTACTTTGAGGAAGGGGTATTAAAGTAATGATATAAATTTTTTTCACAAATTAAAACAAGTGAATTAAATAATTACTTTTTTTAATGTTAATTCTTACATGGAACTGAAATTAAAATAAAAAATAATACACTGAACAACAATTATTAGGGAATTCAGGCAACAGTATTGAGTTGTAAGTTTTATACATTTGCAATACTAATTTCGAAGGTTTGACTGCAGAATTTTCTTCTACAGTTACAGGATGAGTGAAAATGACGAAAGAAATGACTAGAAAGTTCGAGAAGAAAGTAATTTCTTTAAAAGCTGAGGATAAAGCGAGATAGTAGTTTGAATCATTAACTAGAGCTGAAAGACTTTTATCAATGTGAAATGCTCCTAAAAATCTAGTTTGTCAAGTGAATATGGTTTTTTGAATAATTTTGGCCGTAGAAAAATAAAAATATGATTTCTTTGGACCAACAATATTGGGCAACAGAGGATTTACTTCCCCCTTTCTTAGCAGATGCTCTATGTTCCTTAGTGTGAAGTTTTAATGTTCTCTTAGTTGGCCCAATGGCGAAGAATACTTTTTATATCCCAAGAGTCCATATCCGGAACGGGCTCTTGAAATATGGAGCTGCGCATTTTATTAATCGAAATAAAAACGATGCGAAATTTAAACTCCTGTAAAATGCAGGGAAACATATAGCCAATAGATAGAAAGAAAAAAAAATGGCTACGGAATTCTTTTATAATCTAAAAAGAGAAAATGCTTTTTGTTGTGCTGTGAGAATTTTTTAACCCACTTTGTCAATAATACTAGATAAAAGCCTCAGCCAATAGCAACTGCTTTTAAGTAGTTGAATTCTTTATGAAAAGCCGATTTGGAGGAACAAATTTGTAGTGCTCCGGAAAGGGAATAATAAAAGGAAGCTATCAAACAGCTGTATCAGTTCTTCTTTGTGATGCTCACCTTTTCCTAAAGAAAAACACAAATATCCTTCGGATATTCTTACCTAACATTTTGTTAATTATTTAAAGTACTTACTACCTTACTGATCCACATTTTTTTCACATTGCATGTCTATTTTCATTCATTACATCTTTCTTTGCCGACTGATGGCGGCTAATTCAAATATCTAATTCCACCATCTCGATTCTTCTTCTCATCCTTTTGTTGTTGCAGACATTCTTTTATCTGATGCAGAGTAAAAGCGCGCTGTCGCTCTATTTCCATTGGACACAAGTCAAAAGGAAGCTAACTTCTGGTTAGCTGGAGGACAGGATTTGAAGTGCGGTGGAAGACAAATAGATTAAAGTTTATGGTATACATTATTACTGCAATTAAATGTGCGACCGAGATGCGGAAGAAGGGAAGGAACTTAATATCTCAACTTCGAAAGTGAATTGAATAGCAGAATCTAGGAGAGAATTAATTACTGAGAGAACTTTATCTAAATCCTCTTTATTATCAAACAAAGTATCGTAAAAGAAGCGGAACTATATGCCGCTTAATTGATTGCGGTTAATGTTATTGAACTGTCAAAGCCTCACTCTTTTGTATATGAAAACATGGAAAATGCTTCACCTAATACGATCAATAAATCGGTTAATATGATCCATATATTATAGAATTAAGTTTTTAAACCAAAGTAATGCCATCAAATAAATAGTCAAATAAGTCAAAATAGATTATTGAAACTAGCAAGTGACACAGAAATGTCCCAAAATAAGGGTCTAAATCACAAACGGCTTAGTTTCGATTTTAATCAACCATTTAAAACTAAGCAAAAAGAAAAGTAACCTTAGTTTGGGGTAGATTTTAATAAATTTATTGGTTTTGTGGGCAGTCAGACACAGGTCCTCCTACTTCAAGCTGCGACAAACAGCTCAATAGCAGTCAGTTTCAAGCCCCAACTTTTGAAAACTTTTGACGGTGACTGGCAGCAATTATAAGGGTCTTTAGATACATTTTTAGACGCTGGGAAGTCGTGCGTTTTGATCTGAAAAACAAGATGTTTGAAAGAGTCAATAGGAATATGCTCCAACTGGTGTTAAATCTGTTGACCAATGAGATTTCTCGAGATGGCCGATGTTTTCTATAGAAGGTTTCTCAAATACTATAGAAACACTGCAATTAGATTAGGATAAGTAATAGTTTTATGGAAGAAACATGTGAGTTCTTTCTACAGCAGCGAAGAAAGATACAAGACGTGGTCGACATAGATAACAATATCGGATCGTATGCTTAAATATTTCATTGTACAAGCAAAGTAAAATCCGAGCGCTGTAAAATCTTTTAAGAATATGCGGTACAATTGGTAGCCTGTCAAACTGCTTCAAGGACTGCTTTAGCATTATGATTAGATAAGAGGGATTTTTATTCTCAGTTTGCTGGCTGTAAGCTAAAGATGTCTCTGATAACTGGAAGTTAGTTCTCACATTGTAATCTTCTAACATCCGCAGCATGCATGCAGTCTTACTTTGTGTTGTCAGTGCTCGAAATATCGAGAGATTCATAAGTAAAACATCGAGAGATTGCCATCTGATGGCAGAAGAAATCAGAAGTATATTTTACAAACAAAGTAAATTCCGGGTGCTGTAAAAACTTTCAAGTATACACGGTCCACATGTTTGCGTGCCAAAATGCTTCAACAACTACTTCAGCATTATGGTTTAGAATTGCTGAGAGATTCACGGGAAAAATATCGAGAGATTTCTTTCCAATGACAGAAGAAATCAGAAGTATAAGCAACAACCATTTTCTGGTTTACGAGCGCATTAATGTATAACTTTCACGCAGATGTTCTGAAAGGTGAGGGGAATATTGCTCTGGTTTAATTTCTTGTGATTGCTACATATTTATCGATTCTTTAAGGGGTTATAAACGATATGGAGTCATGACTTATATTAGACATCGGCAATTTACGGCATGTGTACAAAGAGTGGTAATTCCTGTTTTTATATTCTTTGAAAATGGAAGCTGTCAGACATTGAAGGTGAGTTATGTGAGATTAAGAATCAGTAAAATTTGAGGGCTTGTAAAAGTAAAGTTTTATTTTCATTTCAATAAACAACCGTAATTTTTTATCTGAAGGGATATGCATTTATTGCGCAGTTCACTTATGGGCTAAATTTAAATCATAGGGAGAGATTTTTCTTTCACATGAAAGAGGCTTTGGATCCAACAGATGCTAGCGGATGCTAATGGATCCAACTAACATCTTTGCGTACAGGCCTATGAGAAATGAAAGGTGACAAAATACATAAGCATTTGATTTTGAGCATTTAACTAAGGAGAAGAATCAAATTAATTTATTAATGATTCTGATGATTAATATTATTCAATAATTACGTACATATACTTAAATTTTAATAATATAATATTTTATGTTTGGTTTATTTAACTATTTTTCCTTCAATCTTTAGAGATTACGGTTTGCAGATAACAATTTTTTTTTTCATTTTAATTAAAATTTTCAATAAACAAAAACTAAGGGAATAGTTAGTTTTAGTTGATAGTTTAGTTAAAAGGTAAGGAAATAGTTAACTTATTATTTGGAAACATATGTTTTTATTATTAATATATGTTAATACTAAATTAAATTAATGTTTAAATAATAAAATTAATTCAAAAGGTTGGCAAGTTGACTGACTGTGTAGCTGAAACACACTAATTTAATTTTGAGTACACTAAAGTCACAAAAAAGCTGTGGACACTCTGCTTTATGTACTAGTTAATGAAAAATCTGCTGGTACCTATCTAATTTATCGTATAAGTAATTTTAACATTTCTTGTTATTAAATGTGTATTTGCTTTCACGAATTCAAAAGTTAAAATATTTCACCTTCTCTGCGAAAATTAATGAGAGTTACTTAATTTAAAATCATCTTAAAAAGAAATATTATAATTTTTACCTTAACATTTCAGAAAAAAAATTAACCTGTTATTTCCCTTTTAGCGATAAATATATTCATCTTTCGATTTCCTGCGATGATGAATTTCTGGGTGGACAATGTGGATTTCCCGATTGGAAATTTGTGTTATGGAACTGGAATGAGAAGCAGGTTGAAAAGTGTTTTAGACCTCTGCGAACTGAAATAGGAGCTAAAGTGTATAAGGTATAAAGTGAACATTATCTCTTTCTCTCTCTATATAAAGCGAAATACCGCTGACTCATCACGAGATCTCTGAAATTGAACCCGATTGATTTGAAATTTCGCGTAGTTACTCATTTCACGATGTAGACACCCACTAAGAACGGGGCTCTAGTGTAGAATCGGGTGCCCCTTCGATTAGCGACATTTTTTTTTTTTTTTAATTTGGGCGATTAAACCTCATTTCTGGTTACCATGATAGTTTTAACTTTGTTTTAGCTTCCTGATTTTTTAAAAATAAAAATAGATTGATGTGCACATAGACAAAGCCTAGATTGTGCAATTTTGGGATTTTTTTGAAGTGAAAACAGATCGATGTGCAATTCTTTGACTTCTTATTTTGGTTTTGTGTAGTGGCCATCTTGAAATTGTGCCTTCCTGACGCCAATCTTGGCGACAAAAGAAAATCGCCAAAAAAACGAGGGGCTCCCAATTGTAAACTTTTACCAAGAACGGTTTTTACGTAAATCTTATCCAACATAGATTTTTGTTATACAATGAAAGTTTCTCATACATTTGTTTTTCAAATCCAAGTTTAGAATTTTCTTTTATTGTTGCCAAAACCAGATATGAAATACAATGTTGCCAATGAATACATTTTCCTCTAAAATTATTAAAATGGTAAATAACTTGCGTCTATCCAATGAATATAAACAATATTAAATTAAAAAGGTTAATAATAACATTTATATTTAACTGTTATCATAGGTTTCATGAAAATAAATCAAGAGATATAAATTATTGTGATGAAAAATAAAAATATTGTATTTATGAAAATTGCCATACATAAAGTATCAAGGACAAATAATTATAATTGATTAAAAAATGTGATAACAAAGATAATAAAATTTATTTTCATGAAAGGAAAAGAGTAGAATTACGGTCACAGCTAACACAGAAGTCAATTACATTTATTCAGTTTAAATATAAATTACCAGATATCCATTTTAATAAAACGATTCTAATTACAATTCTACTAAAAATTGCTAACTAAATTCAAAATCCACAACAATATATTCGTTATTCTCTCCAGATATAGGTATCATATATTATTGTGTTGTCTTATTCATCTGCATTACAGCTCTTATGTATTGCCGAGGAATTTACTTACTTCTACAAGCTTCATGACCTATCTAGTGGAACAAGTGAGGTTTCGCATTTCTTTTCTTAAATAACCATAATAACAATAAACTAATAATGGTTATAAAAAGGTAAAAGCAGTTCTGCCAGGAGGAGTGAGTTCAAGAGCAGGCAGATAAACCGCGAGCTCAACGGCAACAGAAAAGAACCTTAACAAATTCTCTGATGCAAAGTTACAATCTAAATCCTTTCAGACTTTTTCTTTCTTCCTTTTTTAATAGTACGTCCTTGTTTTGAGTGCTGTGTTATTTTACATAGCCAAATAAACTTGTCTACAACCGCGAGTGTATTTCGGTAAATCTTCAATTGCTGTAGCTGCTGTTACATTACCAGTCATGGTACAGATGTAAAAAATTTTTGCTTCGAAAACAGCAGTCAGCCTTAGCAGGCCATTATGTTGTTGTTCCAAGGCGAAATTCACATTTAATCAAACACGTGACATCATTTGCCATCAGAAGAATACTTTGCTTCTTTCATAAATTTCAAGTTAAAAATATTGAATTAAAAAAAAAATCCTTAAGAATGAAAAAAACACTCTTTTCCAAAGGCAGATGCTATATTTATCATTTACAAAGTTACAATATTATCTTTACAACTACAATATTATTATTTACAGTTATGGAATGGCGGGCCGAGGGTGGAACATGGCAAAATGGCAACTGCACGTGGGCCCCGAAAATAATTATTCTGTCCACGAATATGTCTTGTCCTACTCCTCCTGCTGCTGCTCCACCTCCTGCCGCCCCTCGAGCTGCTCCCATGGAGGTAAGAAAGGGAGAAGGGGCCATTCCGCGCTAGAAGTGAAGCACTGCTTTGAAGCTTGGGTCACCAGACGGGGTGTTGTTTGTTTACATTCAGAAGCTCGCTTGACAAGATTCTGATAGTATTTCGACACACGACAGTTCCATACAAATCGAAAAAGGGACACTCTCGCATGAAAGAAACATTCATAGTGTGATGGATAATAGCAATTTCTATAGTTTACTGACATTTACGCAAAAATCACATCTTGGTTATTTTTCGGTAACTAACAACAGCGATTTTGATTATGAATTTGTTTTATAAAATTCTAAGCTGTTGCACTACAAAAATATAGATTTTAAGAAAATTGCTAAAAGAGATTTGCCAAAATTTATTTTCTAGAAGATTTGAAAAGTTTGAAACTTGATGGCTAAATGTAAATATAAAATTATGTATGTTAAAATATTTGTAATTAGGCACATAGGTCAGATTAAGTTTTTATTAAATAGAGTAACGCATGCAAGGGCTATCTGCCTAAAGAGAGAGATGCCATCGTGGAGGAATTTTGAAGAAAGAAAAACTGACCTTCGAGTGGGTATTAAAAATAATACTTATAATTTTCATTCAAATTATATTCATATATATTTTATGTAAAACTTTCGGGTGTATGCTAAATTAGTGTAAATTACTTTACACGAAAAATATAGCGAATGCACAGAAATTAAAGATTTGCACATGCCGGAAATGATAAAATAGGAAATATGTATGAGGTATTTATGCATGTGCTTGCAAAAAGCATGTATCTGCCTTTGACAAAATACTTAAATATTCATTAAATTATTTATAAATGTATTTGAAATGAAGAATTTATTCACTTATAAACAACTGTTGAAAGTACTGTGAAGAAATCTAATGATTAAATGTATCTAATTTATAATGATTATAAAAATGTTATCTAAATATAATAACCTTAATATTGAATTGTAAACATAAATTGAAATCCTGTTGACAAATACGTTATAAAACTATTTAAGCAAAAATTGTTCGTATTGGAAAGCAATCTGTTAAAAGGTATTGTAAAGCAAATGCTATGAGATGCGCACTTAAGAACGTAATAAAGAGTTTTGGAATATGTATTGTTGAAATGAAGGGTAAAAAAAAAAATCTGATAAGTATAATTAAAAGAATTATTCCCTTTACATTTTATAATAACTCAGTTACAAGTTTTAAATAATACTTAAAAAAAACTTATTTTATTCCCTTTCAGAAATGTTCAGAGAAAGTCAAATACTATTTAATTCCTAATAATTCTCTAATTTAAAATGAACCGAATAGAGCATTAATTATAAATTGACTTACATTTTTCGATTTAAAAAGAAGCCAAAAAAAAAAAATCATGTCATATTTAAGAAAGTATTTTAGGAAGAAGCTCTATAAATAGAAAAGAATAATGCATAATTTTAATATTAATAATAATAAACTTTGATCTTAATTTTTACCTTAACCGAATTAACCTTAATTTTTTTTCTAATGTAATTAATGAAAACTTGTGAAAATATTTCATTCAAATTAAACCATTTTGAGAAAACTGTCCTGTGAAAAGTATAGCATTTAATTCCGTTCAGAATGAAATGTTGTTTAAAAATATGTTGTTTTCACATACTTAGGACTCTGAAGTGTTGTAGAAAAAGAAAATATATACATTTATATGTATATTTGCGACGTAATTACAAAATATTTACACCCGAACGCTTCAAATCCCATAGAACTCAATGGTAAATGACCCAATGTTTTGGTCACCACGTAAGGATCGCCGGTGCTTCAGAGCAGGGTACGGAGAAACTTGTTTAGGGCGACTCCTTCTTACTTCCTACCTCCATGGCTGCTCCTCATCTTCCTGCTCCTCCTCCTGCTGCTCTTCCTCTTACTGCTCCTCTTCCTGCTGCTCCTCCTCTTGCTATTCCTCTTCCTGCTGCTCCTCCTCTTGCGGCTCTTTCACTTGCTGCTCCTCCTGATCCTCCTCCTCTTGTTGCTTCTCTTACTGCGGCTCCTCCTGCTGCTCCTCCTCTTGCTGCTCCTCTTTCTGTTGCTCCTCCCTTTGCTGCTCCTCTTCTTATTGCTCCTCCTCTTGCGGCTCCTGCTGTTCCTCCACTTGCTTCTCCTCTTGCGACTCCTCCTGTTCTCCTCTTGCTGTTGCTCCTACTCTTGCTGCTCTTCCTCTTCTTGTTGCTCCTCCAGCTTGCTCCTCCTCCTGCTGCTCCTCCTCTTGCTGCTCCTCCTCTTGTTGCTCATCTTCCTACTGCTCCCCTTTTTGCTGCTGATCCTCCTGTTGCTGCTCCTTTTCCTGCTGCTCCTCCACTTTCTGCTCCTCCTCTTGCTGCTCTTGGGCCAAGCAGAAGGAGCAGCAGAAATTAGAATAAGATGTGTTATAATTAATAAAAATTGACAGTTAATAATTTAACTATGTTTTGAAGCAATTTAATTTGTAGACAAGTTTATTTGGCTATGTAAAATAACACAGCACTCAAAACAAAACGTACCATTAAAAAAGGAAAGAAAAAGTCTGAAAGGATTCTGATTGTAACTTCATCAAATAGTTTGTTAAGGTTATTCCTGTTGCCGCTGAGCTCGCGATTTATCTGCCTGCTCTTGGATTCACTCCTCACGACATAACTGCTTTTACCTTTTTATAACCATTATTAGTTTATTGTTACTATTATTGTTATTTAAGAAACGAAATGCAAATCCTTACATGTTCCACCAGATACGTCATGAGGCTTGCAGAAGTAAGTAAATACCTCAGCAATACATAAGAGAAGCTGCGCTGAAAAAGAAAAATACTGGAGGATGCGCCTTTAATAAATAGATATCTGGGTGTGTGTGTGTGGTGTATTTACGGCAAAGCACACTAGGGCTATCTGCCTAAGGGGAGGGATGCCTTTCGTGGAGGACTTTCTAAGGGAACTGGCTCGTATACACGTACACATGGGGAAAACCCCGAAAACACCCTTGCAGCCAGCCGTTCGCGGGATTCGAACCTCGGACCCGAATACCGTGTTCAGCGACTTACCGCTCTGCCGCTG